GGGGGGGGGGGGGGGACAGCATTTAACAACTCACTTTCCCCACAATGCTTCCAGGTGGGAAGGATGACAGTTTCTCATGTAAGGAAGCTCTGGGAGATTGTGCCATCCAGCTAATAAATGACAGGCTGTGGGTGGGGACCCAAACAGAGCTTCCCTTACACCGCCGTTGTCACCCTGAGCTCCATACTGGGATTAAACCCAAGGCCTTTTAAGCTGTGTTCCCTGGTACCTTTTTTATTTTGAGAATGAGTCTTGGTGAGTTGCTAAACTGGCCAGATTGAGTTCAAACCTGTGATCCTCCTACCTCAGCCTCCCAAAGTGCCGGGATTTCAGGGAGGCACCACCACACGCATCCCTGCACTGCGTTTCCTTTGTGAAGGAGGAGCTGGCTTGCCCCTTGGGGCCCTCTGGGCAGGATCATGAATCAGGTGTCCTCCACCTGACATGTCGGTTGCATTTGTACCTGGGAGGTGGCATCAGCTGCCACACCAGGACTTTGGTGTCATCACCCCACCCCACCTCTCCCTGCCTAGTAGGGCTCATGGTGCCTCCTGTCACCTGTCACCCCAGCCCCTCTCCTCCTGGCAGTGCCACAGGCCTCAGAGTCTTCGCAAGTCACATTTCTTCCCACTCCCAGCAGTGACATTGGATCACTTCCTACAGAGCAGCTGGCTGTGTCTCCCTCACCCCCAAGCATTCCTGTCCCTGATCACCCTGTGACCTTCAGCTGCCCCTCAGGTCCCCTCCCCCAGCTTCCCTACCCACCCACCCCATGCAGCTCTGAGCAACGGACTCGCCACAGGAGCCTGCCACACACAAGGTCACTGGCAATCCTGCCAAGGATGGGGAAAGGGGTGACTCAGTTCCCGCCTGCTCAGCTCTGGAAGGCAGCTGGGGGAGGGGCCGGAGGGAGGAGGCCAGGCGACAAGGAGAGGGAGCTCCAGCTCCGCTGCTGGCTGACCTGACACACATTCCCTCTCATAGCAGCGGGCAGGACCATCTGCCCCTGGAGACCAAGGGATGCTGACACCCGGCAGTGTGCACAGAGTGTGGGGACAGGCGGCCTCCAGCTGCCCTACGGCTTAGCACGGCTTCCCTTTCCCTCCATGGGACCATTCTTGGCCTCAGGGAGGCTCCAGTCCGATGTGGGAGGCCTGGCCTCTGCCCCACAGCCTCCTCAGTTCACAGCCCAAGGGAGAAAGCTTGGGCAGGCTGGGCACAGCTACCAGGTCCGGCCGGAGGCAGTGTGGGGAAGCCAAAGAGTTGGGGTGAGGCTAGGACCGGAACCTCCTCATAGGAGGTCTGCTCTGAGGGGAGGGCTGCAGTGGCAGGAGCAGAAGCTGGGCTCTTGATGTGCCCAGATTCAGCTCCAGGGGCCGGGGCGCATCTTCTCAGTTAAAGGAAGTCACGAGGATGTGGGGCTCAGAGAGTATCTGGAAGAAGCTCAGGGACCCAGCAGGCCACTCCGCTCCGCGGAAGGAAGCTTTGGGAGGAAATGTGTTAGCAGAAGCGGAGCCTAGAGCAGCGGCCTCGCTGCCGGGGCAGGCGGGGAGGGAGGGGCGAGGCCTGGAGTGTGTGCGCGGGTGAAATGAAGTTATTAAAATGAACCCACCCCCGTGCGGGCAGAAGCGTGTGCCAGGAAGGCCGGGCCCTCCAGCTGTCGGCAGCATCTGGCTCTCCGTGGGAGAGGAGGGGGAGGAGGGGTCACAGTGCCCCAAGTCCACAGGCGAGGGGCCCTGGCCAGACCCATCGCTCCTTTTATGTCCCCAGAACCCACAGGCTGGGGAAGCTACTCCATGATGCTGCTGGGGTGTCCACAGGAGTACAGGGACTCTAAGGACCCCATAGCCTCACGCCTGCCACCACAGGAGCAGACCTGGGCCCTCTGAGTTGAGGAAGAAAGGGGTAGAAGGCTGGGCATCGTCTCTAGTCTGCTCAGAAGTGGCTCAGGAAGCCGGGTGCAGGGGACACTGGAGCAGCACAGGAGACTGAGGCGCCCTTCCTGGGTCCCTTTACCCAGGGAGCGGGCTACAGAGAGGCAGGTCTCGAGTCCCCCATCTCTGTATGGCAGTGGCATTCGGGGCAGCAGGATGAAGGCTAGAGGTGGCACCTAACCTGCACACCAGGACTTTCCCACTATGGTGACCCTGCTGAAAGGACCCAAGAGCCAGACCTGGAACAGCTGCCAGGGCGTTGTAGGGAGGGCCCCGCCAAGCCCTGGAGAGGATGCCCACGCAGCCTTGCATCCCACAGGCCTCCTGCTGGCCTCCCTGTCCCTAAGACACTCCAGAGGGTTAGCCGCTGGGAAGGGACAGGCAATTGGGGACTGACCAGTGAGAGCACGGAGGACACACCTCAGCCTACAGAGCCAGAGAGGAGCCTGGGTCCTGATGATTTTGGGGGCACCTGGACAGCTGCAGCAGGGTCTAGCTGGGTGTCAGTCACAGACGCAAGTCCTTGGCTCCCCCCCACACCTTTTCCAGTAGGGAGGACTGGAAATCTGAGGCTCCCTTCTGAGACCTAAGTGCTGGACGAGGCCCTTGTGTTATAGAGGACCACACGCCCAAAAAGCAATGGCAGAGCTGAGACAGCCGAGGCATCGGGACCCTCCCTGGCAGGCGGACAAGGCACCGTTGGGGAGGACAAGCAGCTACCAAGCGGCTCTTCCCCCAGCCTGCTCTTGAAGAACGGCGCCACCCCAGCTCACACGAGCACCGCACACAGCGCCTTTGCTCAGGTTCCAGGCGTCGGATCTCGCAGCCCCAAAAAGGGACGGGAGAAGGCAGCGCAGAAGCCTCGCTGCGCACTGGGAGCTGAGAGCCCTGGCACACTGGACCCAGCAAGGTCCAGCCGCCATCTGAGAAATACAAGCCGGAGTGGGGAACCTGGGCCCTCACCAGTGCACAACTCAGAAGGCCGAGGCCTGGGGAAAGCTTTATTCCCTGCTCCAAGGACAAGATTCTGCACACAGAAGTTGACGGTCAGGTGATTCACAAGACTCCCCCCCCATCCCCACAGACAGACACAAGGGAGCAGGCCCAGCGTCCTCACGGCCAGTGCTGGTGGCCAACAGATGGGAGTGAGGGTCCCATCTGACAGGCAGGCTGACTGTGGAGGGACCATTCTCAGCAGGGGGTGTGGCGGCAGGACACATTGACACCTGGGTGGGCATCTACCAAGGGCAGGTGCCAGGAGGACCGGCATGGTCCTGTCTTGGTCTAAGGACAGGTGTGGTAGCGACAACAGTATGGAGTGCTGGCGGGGGTTGGGGGGTGGGGACTGTGGAAAGGGGTGGCCTGGCTGGAGACCGATGGACTTTTTGTCACAACAGTAAAGACCTCAAGGATCACCACTTTGGCCTCATGCAGGGCTTGGGGCAGGGACGCGGCTCAGGGCTGCCCACTATGGTCTCCCAGGATGCCCTGGCTCAGCCATGCACCCTTGCTGACTCCTGAAACCCCCTCTGCTGCTGTTGTCCTCACTCAGGAGGGAAAGGAGGGCGCCAAGGGTTTAGGGTCTCCTCCATGACTCCACCTGGAGCCACCACTGTCTGCCTGCCCAGGGGCCTGGGACTGGCATCAGCAAAGCGCGCAAGGCTGCAGGAGTGCTGTCCTCCCCCGGGCTCCACCTTCTAGCAGCCACACAGCCTCGGGCTGAGGCCAGCCTGGGGCGCAGCCCTGCCACTGGGGCTCGGCCCACCCCACATCTCTGCATCTCTTCTCCCCTCCCTGCCTGGGGCCCTTCTGTCCCCCTCCCTGCCGGGTGTCGGGCAGTTGGCGTCCACCCTGGCCGCCCGTCCTCCTAGCCCTGGCCTGGCCTCTGCGGCCTGCCCAGGTCAGCCAGAAGGGTAGTAGGGGGTGTCGCTGTGGTGGTTGTAGTCTGGGCACACCTTCTGGACCAGCCGATAGTCCGTGCTGTAGAAGGCGATGTAGACACACACCACCTTGAAGGGCTGCGAGCAGCTCCAGGTGGCCGAGCTCTGAGAATGGTCGCGGGAGCAGGTCTTGGCTGGGTCGTGGGTGCAGAGCGAGGTCCGGCGGCCCCGCTCCACCTTCTCCCACTCCATGCGGCAGTTGAAGATTTTGGAGGCCTTGGCTTCGATGTAGATCTGCTGTTCCTGGTGGAACTCGACGGCCTTGCTGGGTGGCACGAGGCTGATGGAGATGTTGCCCTGGCCTGTGGCGTTGTGGCGGAAGTGGACGCTGAAGGTCCCGTTGCCGTGGTCCACAATCTTCCCCGTGACCAGCAGGTTCAGGGCCACCGTCTTGATGTTGGAGTAAAAGTCCCCCCAGCCAAATATTTTCTTCACCTTGGCCGAGGGTGGGGGACTGTGGTTCGGGCGGTTAGGGGGCTGCCCGAGGACACCCCAAGCTTCAGAGCCAGGTGGAGCCAGCAACCCTAGCAGGGCAGTGTTAGCCAAGGGGCGGGACTTTGGTGAGATGTGGCCCCGCTTCCGAGGGACACGGGGCCGAGGCTGGCTCTCGTGGTCATCGTGCTCAGCCTCCTCGGAGCCATGGGGACTGTCACCCTGGCCACAGACGACCTACAGAGGAAGTTGGAAAGAGTGAGCACCCTGTGTCCCAGAGGACCAGGGGGAAAAAGCCCCACTACGGTCACCCCTGGCCCTGTCCTTTCTGTGCCGACTCAGGACTGAGGGCCTTGGTGTTTCACACTTACTCTGGGGTCAGGGGTCTATCCTGGCTTGTGCTGTGGGCTCTTGGGTCTCCTGTCTTCACACTAGGGTCACCCCAGGTCCCCTTCTTACTACCCTGCCTCTGGCCACGATTCCATATCTTGAAGGAATCGTGTGGTGTAACCTCCAATCGTGTGGTGTGTCCTCACCTGAGAAATGGAAGCATAGAATTCCTGCCTTGTGGTGCACATGACATCTTGGCATGCCACCATACCCTTCATCGTCTGGCAGAGTGGCACCTGCTTTCCTCACCTGGGCCGTTCTGGGCATGCCACCCATTTCCCTCCCCAGCCCTCCTGCCGAAGCTCACACTGCATTTGTCCTTGACACAAAGTTAGGCTGGGTCCTGTGCTCCCGTCTCATTGTGGGTTCCTTGCACATCTAAGGGTGGCAGTTCTCCTAGGACATTAGGAAGTCTCAAAAGGCAGGCGCTGGAGCCCGCCTGTCCACAGGGAGCTGCAGGAGAACTTGGAGCTTGCCCATACGTGCGGGACCTGCGTGCACGGCAGGCCCCGTGTGAATTCCCCAGCAGGAGTTCTCTCCTGCAGATCTTGCCACCAGAGAGGCGTGGCCTCTACCTCCCAGGCAGCCCCAAGTCTGACAGGGAAGGTTCAGCCCCACCTGATGGCAAAGCCCCAGTGTGATGGAAGAGGTTGAGCCCCTGGCTTGGTGAAATGCCAGGCTGACGGGGGGGGGGGCGGGGGGCACAAGCTCTGCCTCCAAAGAGCCTCAAGTTCGCAAGGGGACGGACTGGAACTCCCTGTGGACAGGCGGGCTCCAGCGCCTGCCTTTTGAGACTTCCTAATACCCTAGGAGAACTACCCTTTGATGCGCAGGGAACCCACAATGAGACGGGAGCACAGGACCCAGCCTAACTTTGTGTCAAGGACAAATGCAGTGTGAGCTTCGGCAGGAAGGCTGGGGAGGGAAATGGGTGGCATGCCCAGGACTGCCCCGGTGAGGAAAGCAGGTGCCACTCTGCCAGACGATGAGGGGATATGGTGGCATGCCAAGATGTCATGTGTACCACAAGGCAGGAATTCTATGCTTCCATAGAATTTTTTTCTTTCTCAGGTGAGGACACCACTCTGGCTTGGAGGTTACACCACACAAAGCTACGGTGGGCTGGGCCTTCCACTACACTACACACTCCCGGCTTCCCAGGCCAGGTGCGTCTTTTTTAGAAAGAATCTGAGCTAAGCGCCGTCCCCACTGGGCATATCCTGTAAGACTCTGCCAGGGATCATCCTGCCTCTGCAGGCTCAGCCAGGGCGACAGGCCACATCTCAGGAAAGACTTCTGGAGGAGTGGCAGGACGGCCAGCCAGGCTGGCCTGCGGACCCAGGCAGCACAACAGGGTGTGGGGAGAGTAGGTCCCTGGGTTTCCTGAGGGCTGTGGTGCTCTGGTGTTCGCTCAGCTTTTGAGAGTCCTTGCCTGGGTAAGCTCTCTAGGCGCGGGGTCAGCCGGCAGCCTTGGTAGTGCTTCTGGGTTGAGGAAGGAGGCTGCCTGAGTAAGCGGGGCAGGAGCGACTCAGAGGGGTCTAGGGTCTGTGACTTGGCGGTGCCCGCAGCTGGCTGCAGTGTCGAAGCCACCTCTGACCCGGGTCAAGGCTGCCCCCTCCCTGTCGGGTACAGGGACTCCAGTGAGGGCGGCTCCTGGGGAAGGGCTCAGGGCCGCCCACCTGTATGGACTGGCCCTTGGGGTACACAGCTAAAGGGCATGAGAACAGAAAGGGCCACAGGTAAGGACCGGTGAGGAAAGGGACTTTCCACAGTGGCCTGAAGGTGCTAGCAAAGGGATTATTGTCTATAGAGAAGGAGGCTTCACCAGGACAGGATTGGGGCGAGGGGAGGGGGGCCGGCGCGGCAAGCAGTCTCTGGGGAGTTGGGGCCGGGGCTGGGGTCCCTCGCGTCTTGGGCGCCTAGATGATCGGCAGCGAGCGCCCCGGGCGGGAGCCGCCTGCCCAGGTCCTGTGGGGCTCGGGCCGCGCGCAGCCGGAGAGGAGAGGAAAACAACAGGCGGGGAGGGCGGGCGGGCGCGGGGACGCGAGCGGCGGGCGGCAGGCGGCAGGCGGCGGGGACGCGGGGCCGCCCCTCGTCTGCACCCGCTCCCCGCTCCCTGGGCTCTCCAACCCTAGGGCCCCAGGGGGTTGCGCGCGAGCATCCCCCGAGCTGGCGGGTCCCCAGCTCCACACCCCTTCTGCCCCATCCGCGCGTCCCGGGCTGCAGGGTCCCGGAGCCCTGGGCGACCGGGCTCGGGGGGTCTTTTCCCAGCGCGGGTCGCACCTCCCGCCACCCGCCGCGGAGGGGGTGGGCCGGCCCGGCGCCCTCTCCCCGCCCCTATTAACCCTTCCTGTCCAGCCTCCGGCCCGGACCCGCCCTCTCCCCCAGCCTCCGGTCGCCCCCTCCGAACCCGGGCTGCTGGGGGCAGGAGAAAGTTTCCGGGCGCGGAAGCTAGGAGCGCTCCCCGATCCCGCGGGCCCCCCGCGCGCCAGGCTCCCCGCGGACGGCTCACCAGGTAGAGGCTGCCCTGCACCAGGAACACGAAGCAGCAGCGAGTCAGTTGCATCCTCCTTGCCGTCACGTCCCCTTCCTCGCCGTCCCTGTCGGGGTCCCAGGCCGCGCGCTCCCTCTCTGTCCCCTCAGGCACGCCGTCCCATGCTCGGGCCCCGGCGCCTCGCGGCCCTCGGCTCCGCCGGCCGCCCGGGACCGACCCCGCCCCCTCCGGTCCGGCTGTGCCGCCGCCGCCCCCTCTCCAGCCCAGCTGCGCGC